ATTATCCCTGTATATTCAATGAATTCCAGAAGAGTCTTGAGGGGAGTTCGCATGATCTGGTCTGGTGGAATTTCATCCCCTCCCAGGAGTCTTCGTCTACCTGTTGTATATGACGTGCAGTGACACATAACATGCAGAGTAGTTTCCTGTCTACTCAGTCCATCCTGAAGAGGTGTTTTTTGCAGGGGGCGTGTCCTGTTAAAAAGGCCACTATCCTCCTTATTTTTGCCTGCTGAAACCTAGCAGTTCGTTTTTACGTGCTGGTTGTGGAGGTCCCACCAACTGCTTTGCGGTATGGAGTCGCGGTGTCTCCTCCCAGTACTTTCTGTGTTGTTCCAAGATCCACTGCCCAACTGCCACCCTAACTTGGGCATGAGATATACCGCAAGCAGGTTCTTGGTTGGTCTTGGTAATTAGTAAGTACACTTTATGTTATAAAAAATGAATGTTGGTATAAAAATTCAAGAAAATGAAAGCAATATACTATAAAGATTTATTTTTATTTAACTTGTTGATTTTCATTCTTCATTACCTTTATTACGCACTTAAAAAAACTTTTCCCATCAAACGCTACCCCAAACTGATTTAAATCTTTCTTAATTTTTTTCCATTTCAAACCATCAACACATTTTGGGTGTTGCAGTGTGCAGCAGACAAATTGACACACACTTTAAAAACTCTGTAATCGATACTATTTAGGAAACGATGCAATTTAAATTTAAAAATAAATGCTCCTTCATGTTGTTTTACAAAAATACCTTGCGGCGTTTAATGAAAGTTTTCAAACTGCGCGCCATTCGCAAAAATATCTGGGCTGCCACTAGACGCCAGAATGTCTAAGACTGACAGAATTGTTGCGCGTGCGCATATGGTGAAACGCTTCTCAAATTTGATCATGACATTTCTTGAAAGTTATCAATCGTTGGAGCGATATTTTCATTTGGTTTGGTTTTAAATCATGTTCTCTTTTGATTTGATTACATTTCTGGAATACTAACAATCATACCCATGTCTATGGGATAAATCAATGTGATTATTCATTTTTGAAGTTATTTTAAATCATATCAAACATGAGTAAAAACGAAGATCCGAAAATCACTTCTTTCTAAATAATTCAAAAATTAGGGAAAAAACTTGTTTTTTAAAAACACCATGCATATGACCCTCTGCCCAACTTTTTCCTGATTTAACCGACTTTGTATCTCTACGGTTTCGGAGAGAATTACGGATGCATCCTTATTTTGGTCACCCTATATGATAGTGTGTAGTCTGTGGGCAGGTGTTCTTTCCTAGAAAACCTGCCTTCCAACTGGACAAAGCACTTACTTTTTGTGAATAATTTCATGCTCTTTATGTTTGCCAAAATTGGGTTTTCTACAGCAACTGCGTAATTTTTTTTAAATTAAAAAGTTAAGCTTCAACTTTTCAACTGTGCAGATGTTTGGAAAAATTGAAATATTTTAGAAAATTTTGGCTCTAAAGCTGAAAACCTGATTTTTAATTTCCCTAGTTTGTTTCCACGCATAATCCACTGTCTCATCCATAGTCGTTTTTTTAATTTTCGCCTCAATTTCAAAATAATTACTTCTTCTAACATATCCGCCACTTTGACAATAGTCTGAATCGATAGTGTTAGTGAGTGTGAACACCTAGTGACACGACATGGAATGTCGAAAGCTGTCACGGGACCCGATGTCACGACATCGATGTCGCCGTCTGAACGAGCCTTAAAGTTAATTAAACGTTGACACTTAATGAACTCTCCTTCGCATTATATGGAGTAAATTTTTAACTTCCGCTTATTTTACTTAGAGGTGTTTTAGAATGGCTACCCGAAAACAATGTACTACCTTTGGGTTAATCGGCACTGACCTGAAGAGATCCTAAAATTTTATTTGGATGTGTTGACTTTAGTTTTTGGGCTACCGTTACATTAACTTATATTAACCTACACATTCGGCAAAAATAAATGTTTTCCCAAGGCACTTCGTAATGGAAAATATAAGAAACTGGCCATATGTGCGTTATTCCTGTTCTTTCCTTAAAGCTGTTTTTCTACTAAATTGATGAGGTTTCGCATTGTTAACTGACTCCTTCAGGCTGTTATAAATGGTAAAACGACGTCAGCATGCTGGTGGATTTGTAAAGGGTAAAATGCTTTAATGGTTCAGCTTGTTTATAATAGGTCGGGCCAAAGCTCCATCAAAGCTATTTATAATACTCACCTTGAATATAAAATCGATAAACCGTTTTATGAAACATAAAGTGGCTTGCAGGCAAAATATTATAATCGTAAACGCTTTAAAAATGCAACCTTTCATTATTAATTTTAAATTATATTGCCGGATTTATTTTGCCTGCGTACGTACAAACTATTCAGAAACTGGATCTAATAGTCCCTATGGGCGAGTAAAAAAATATGGTTGACCATAGAAACACTTGAAATGTGATCAATAATGAATAATGTGAAGTTCTATATTGATGCGGCTAGCACGGAAAAGGAAGTGGTAACGGCAACGCTGCCAGCAAGATGACTAATGAAAGTTCGAGACAGCCCCTGTTGGATTTGGAATAGGAAATGTTCGGGTGTTGAATGAATATTCGAGTGTTGCCAAACGGTTATATAGAGCAAGCGCGAAGCGCTCTAGAGTTAGTTAGTTGGTAAACGAGCTATTGAGTCAAGGTTAAATAGTATTGCGATAATTGTTGGTTATAATTCAAGTTGGTTAAAAATTAATTAAATAACTAGAAGTAATAATTTATTACAGAACTAAGGTCATTCAGGTAAAAATGGTTACTGCCTGGCACAGTCCTGCTTTATGACCGATTTACGAATCTCCATCAAGTTCTCAAGTTCTCAATGTTTTAACTTGGTGGGAAAACTGCGTCAAAAATTTTGATATTTTATCAGTATTTTAGAGAATTAGCAGTAAAGGTCGTTGAAACTACAGGACAAAAATAAGAAGAAATTTGAGGCTCGTGGGATAAGACCATTTTAGCTACCGCACCTTTTCTAATGTTTTTTCTAGATATAATAAGCGAAACGTCGGACGTTTGCGAATGACGAAAAGCCACGTATACAACTATTCCAATCCCGAAGAATTTTCATTAAAAAAAATTGGAATGGCCTTTGGGAAGCACGTTTTGCCTTTTTTCAGTAATATATTAATATTTTTATGAAAAATTTCCAGAAAAAAATTATAAATAGTTAAAAACTGAAACCCCTAATTTGGTGGAGATATTTTGATGGTTTAATTTCAATTTACGCTCATGGAAATAAAAAAATTGGTGAATTTTTATCACATCTGAACAGTAAAGAACCAACCATTAAATCCACTTGTTGAAAAAAGAAAACAACAAAATTATTTTCCTGGGTTTATTAATTAAGACAAATTATACTGAACCAAATATATATTTTAGTTTTATTAACTCAAATCATCTCATAATGGTAAAAAGGTGATTGGAAAATGTTTATCTGATAGAGCGAACATACTGTTGCGGCCATAATTGTTCCATAATTGAACTAGAATATTTGAGTGTTGCCAATCGGCTATATAAGGCAAGCGCGGCGCGCTCAGTTAGATAGTTAACCAGCAAGGAGTAAGGTTAAATACATGTAGGGTTGATTAGAACTTAAAAAAATTAATTAAATAACCATAACATGGGGACTATAAAACAGAAACAGTTTCTGGAGAGAATTAAGTAACCCAAACCTCACATTAAAAAAATCGTCACCATGGTATAGATAAGTTTTACAAGAACCAATGGAAAGTTAAACATTTAACCCAAAAATTGTAGCAGCAATCGTACGTGACACCGGAAAATGGCAAACTCGCTCCTTTCATTTTCGTCAAATCATTTTTCAATATCCCCTCTAAAGATATTTGAAATTTGACACTAAATTGACTTAATATTTATTTTCAGATACCGTTCAGCAATGGTGTACAAATCAATAATCTTTATAGGATTTCTAAGCGTTGTGCAAATCGCTGCGGGGCTCAGGAACCGGAAAAGAGACATTCGAGTTGTATTCGAGCGGAACGTAAGTAAAGACAAAACAGCATTACTTACTAGATTGCTATAGAGCGGCAAAAAATAGAGAACAGTTAAATTCAATGAAGCTGGCAACAAAGATCCAATTCAATTCGCCTTGGTATGTTTTTCTATCTACTATTGCGATGAGTTGGTGAATTATCGTAAACTTATAATGGGGTTATTTGACTCAATTTGTTAGAGATTATTTGAATTTTGAAGAGTTGCAGCCAGAAAGTATATGAAATTGGGCTTTAAAAATCAGAAACAATTCACTATTTCCCAATTCAAGAACCCCACAATTTGCTCAAATGTTTTTTTTTAATTATAGTTCAAAAGATACTTAAAATATTTGCCACTTTCAACAAACTTAGAACTTCGAGATTCCTGCATCTTCGACGAAAGACATTTGGAAACTGAGTTTACCGGGTTCACATTTTAAAAATATTTTATAATGTACAGGGTGTCCCAAAAGCCTTAAAAGTATCAAAGTTGGCCCCCAAAGTAAATAACTCGTATATACAGGGTTATTCACGCTATACGACATGGACGTTCGCGGCTAGCCCGTTTGTTTTTTGCAAAGTATTATTTGATGAATTCATAGGCGCCTATCGGGTGCACATTTTAAAAATATTTTTGCAATGTACAGAGTGTCCCAAAAGCCCTAAAAGTATCAAAGTTGTGTTTTTCAAAATAAAACACGCTATATATTATCGCATTTTTGGATTCTCTGGGCAAAATAAGTATTTGGTTTAATAAGGTTTATAATAACAAAATAATAAGGTTTTTTAAATAATCCGAATTTCATTAAAATGTAATCTAATTTTCAAGTGTAAAACACTTTAGAATTATTTAAGTTATCGCTTCTCCGGAAGAACAGTGACGCAAGTGCAAATTGATGATTTTTCAGAACTCACAAATTAAGAAAATAATAATAATGAAACTTACACTGGGACTTTAAGGACCAATTTGGATATAATCGATGGAGACTTCTAGATAGCAAATTTATTCTAGTTTTAGATGCTGCTACGTATTTTATAATTTTTAAAACATATGAAGATGTGTAGGCCTTAAAAGTCCAAAAAGTTCCATTTGCGTCATTGTTCCATTGGGAAAGGCGGCAGTACTAATAGTTGTGACAAGGTTAATTATTGAAATTATTAGATGAATACTTTATTTTAGTCACTGTCAAATTTATCAAATGACAACAGAAAAATTAAGTTGAATAAGAAATATTTATTAATAACATTACAAAAGCAAACATTCAAAACCAGCCACTAAAAAACGGTTCATAGTATTGCGAAATAATGTTAGTTGTTAACAAAGTTTGTAAATCTTTTTTCTTATTTTCACTTAGTAGGATTTTTGAAATGTAGGCGAGTTTTCTGATGATGCTATTTAGACTCTTCACTCGAGAAGAGCGTCTTGTTCCAATGGTTCGACTCCTAACTTGTACCCATGTAGTCAGTTTGTAGAAAAGTTTGTAGAAAAGTATACATCGCTTCCTTTCACAAAGTTTTCGACTTTTATATCTGACATCCTAATCTGACCACCCTCTAGATTTTTCTGGGAATTAAAACCAATTTCATTAAACATCGATTTTAAATCTATAAAGTCGTGATAACTCATTTCTTTCACAACAAAGGGGTTTTCAGTTTTTTTTAAATTCCTTATTATGGTCACTAATTGGCCACGCACTTACCTATATGGGCCCTGATTTTTTGGCTCTCTTCATATATTTCTCGATAATACTATGGATGTCGTTGCCCTCATTCTGTCTATGCCCACGTATGAAGAAATTGTGAGTACTAAAGTTTATTTGTAACGTATACAAGGTGTCCACAAATTTAAACTAATCAAATAAGAACTTTAAGTGGCTATAATCATTTCAAATACAACAAATATGCTTTAACTTTCCAGGAAATGCAATTTTTAATTACCTATCGAATGGTTTTAGGGGATTAATAGCTAAGTCAAGTCGCTTTTGAAAAATATGCCAAATAACCGTTCTGTGCACCATTTGGTTCCATTGGGGAAAACCCAATATTAGTCAAAATCGTTATTTGAACCATTTGGTGTTTTTTTTTAATTTAAAGCTCTAAATAACATATCAACAATAATATAAAACAGATTCAAATTATTTGTTCAAAATGTTCGAAGTGCTGAACGTTCATTCCTAGACATTTGTAAATTATTTTTTCAAAACCACTGCTAACTCTGGCTAACATTTGCAGAGTTACAGTTTTAAAAGCGTCTCTTATGCGTATGGTGGACAATTTCTTTTATATACCCCCACAAAAAAAATCTAGTGTAGTTAAATCCGGAAGCCTGGAAGGCCAATTTTCAAATCCATTTCTGCCAATCGAGCTGTTTTGAAAGTTACCATTTAAAAATTGTCGAACTTCGCAATGATAATAGGGAACTTCAAATGAATAGCCTGCGGTCACAAATTTAATTGTTTATTGCAACTTAAATATTGCGATTTGACGGCAGATATTTGGTATGTGCGATTTCCATAGATAGACAAATGTATTAAAGAAATAAAAAAAATGTTCAAGTTCCCCATTAGGCGGAGCTCCATCCAATTGAAGCCACATGTTACTCCTAATACTTAAAGAAACTTTTTCTAATAATGCTCAAAGATGGTTTATTAGAAACTGGAAAAACATCAAACCATTTAGATGTCCTTCAAAAAAGTAGGGTCCAATTAAATATGAGCCTAGTATTCGACCCCACACATTAACTGACCACCTATTACGATTTTTCATGACCCTGTATTCACGAGACCATTGTTATGAAAAGTACATTCATCACTAAATAACACATTATCGAAAAACTTTTCATTTTCTGCCACTTGAATATAAACCTTATTAAAACAAACATTTATTTTGCTCCGAGAAGAGCAAAATTTTCGAYAATTTCTAGAAGATATTAACAGTTGAAAATCGAATTTCAACTTTGTTATTAAGCATTATTTTGAAAGTGTTCCATATTTAATTGGAAGCATATTGGAATACTTAAGCATTCAAAAAGAAAAATTACGATCTTTGCTTCAAATTACGAACATTTTTGATATTAAAAAGGTTCTCTTTTGTTTCAATTTTTTGAAGAAATTCGAAGCTTCAATGTTGTTTTTTGTCATTCACAGATAGATACAGGTGGATAGCCCTTGTCAATAATAATAATAATTTGTCAAGTTGTGACTTACTTTGAATTTCCTTTCACGAATTTGCGGATTTGCGATTAGTTCAGAGGAAATGCTACAGTAACATAGCAGAAGATGAAAGAACTCACGCAAGCAAAGGGCGAGGAGAGCGGTTCCAATGAGATAGTGGACAACAATAGATGTTCGGGTTCCAGACACAGAGGAACAAGTATTGGTCATAATTGCAGAAGAGCCTTTCAAGGGCTCGCAGAACATTGCACAACAACTGACTTCTTTCCAATTTTTCCAGGCACCAAATAAAGACTGGCTACATTCCTACCACGTATGTAAGATTCACATTAAACCAATGGATTACTGAACACCGGTATAAATTGAGCAGGAGTTAATTAACCGAATACGCGAAGCTGCTCGAGAAGAGTGCATAATAAGGTGATTACACAGGCACTTGTTCGGAGTTACAGACTCAAATATATGTTTTTGAACTTTGTAAACAAATCAATTATTCGAGGTTATGAGTTTTGAAATAGGTTCCGTCATTCAACGATTCCTGTTGAATTTGCCGTTTATCCTTGTCTATTTTATTGTCACTATCTATTTATCCATGGTTACCGGAGTTTTAAATAATTATGAAGCAACAGGTATTTGTTTGATGTTAATTAGGCAGATTTCCTTGAAAAACATTGTTGCCGTCTTCCTAATATAGTTTTTTGCAAATTTTCCAGTTTTTAATAACTATAGATTTTTTTACTATTGTTTCAGTACTCCTAAAACACCGCCAGACAACACCTCCAGAGGAATTACGCCAATTTTGAATCATCCTTTATATAGGGTATTTCATTTAAAAGAACAAAACTTTGATACTTTTGGGCCTTTAGGGACAATCTGTACATTACAAAAATATTTGCCAATTCATTAAATAATACTTTTTGAAAATTAAACCGTTAACTTCTGTGACGTATAGGCGTCTATAACCCTGTATAGGCGCCTTGGAGGGTATTTAAAATTTTCTTGGCAGAATGGTTTTAATCGATCTCTTCGCTCATTTGGTGAACCCAAGCCAAAAGATCCTACAATATCCCTCTCCGACCTTTACCTACTTTTGCGTTAAGATCGCCCCTTATTATAATAATTTCCGAGGATTCGCTCAAACGGAGCCCCGCCAAGGAACCTATACAAGGACCATAAATGTAATGATGTCCCACTCTCATTTCTCCAGTCTATGGTCAACGCATCTCGCTGATATCCAGAACGTCTATTTTGATTCTTTTTATCTCCCTGGCCGTGTTATGTGTTTTTCTACTTTCAAATGAACTGCGAACATTCCATGTTGCTATCGTTTTCAGTAAAGTGTTGTCGGCGACTGGGGGGCCGCGTTTTAATTTTGCTCAACCTAAAGGTTTTCCTAATGATGTTCTGAGGCTTTTTAATGCAGTGGTTTTCCGTTCCCGTCTGCATCTCCATCCCGTTGAACTTGTAGACAGTTTCATTCACTGTTCACCGTTATGGAGGATTTCTCCTTCCAAGGCCAAGAAGGTCTTGGCGGCTCCTCCACTTGAAGCTGTAGGCCAGCAAGAGGAATTACTTATACCGCCGTTCTGTTCAATCGTCACTTCACTTGTTACTTTAATAGATATTCTGTTAAAGATTAGCCGTTCGAACAATTTACAGCACATGGAAAAGAAAGCTATCAGTTTATATATTTTCCGGATTCTCTGGGGTTTTTTTCATTTTGGATTTTCTAAAGATGAGTTGGTACTGCTTCCCTGCTCAACAAAAACTCAAAAAACTCCCCAGCTCACTTTTCACCCGCCATCCAAACTCTCGCTGTCAATCAGGACATCACC